GGGCCCCTCCACTTGGGGGAGGACTCACCCATGGAGTGAGGACGTTAGGCCATAATAATGGAGGGTGCAGGAAGGACTGCAGGAGGATGGATCTACGGATCCCAAAACCCAAGACCTCTGAGTGACACGCTCTGGTGCATGGCAGTTGGCATGCTCCCCCCTCAAAGCTGTCTCCTCCAAAAACATGCCAAGGCCACCACGAAATCTCCTAGTGAAGACGCTCACTCGGATCAGGAGATATTCTAAGGCCTCCTAGAGGAACAGAGCCTCTATCACCCCCTAAAAACATGGCCAGTAAAGTATGGTCAAATATTTTATATAAGAAAGGGGGAGATGTCAGGGACTAGAAGGAAATTCTCCTTCAAAGATTAGCCTGACAGCCCCCTGGGAGACATCCTGCCTGGGAGGCATCCTGCAGCTACCTATCTCCCTGGAACATCCTGCGGTTATCAGGATCATCAGACATCTTGCACCTGGCAGTTTTACCACCCACATCCAGCAATTGTTGATTAGAGAGCTTCCCCATCCCCAGCATATAAATACCCCTGTGTGAACAATAAAAGTTTGCAGCTTGATCAGAAAAAAAAAAAAAAAGAATGAAAAGCACTCTGGGCAGACGATGCTAGTAACACCTCTGGCCACCAGATGGCGTCCTGCGCGACAGCCTTCTTAAGTGAAAACTGTTCAAGTTTTGAGACAGGAAGGACCTTGAAGAACAACCAGTTGGCTCCTTTTGTTTGACAAGAAACTTAGCATTTGAGAATATCTGTGTACTTATTCGAGAAACAAATTCCAATTTCCCCTCTAATTTTCCATTACATGATTATAATAGTAACACAGGTATACAATAAGAACAACAGCTTGAAGAACATTAAATCATTTATTTCACATATAAATTCCCATGAAGTATAAGTATCACCCTCCACTTTCCTGGATGAGGATGCTCATTAATTTATCAATGCATTTGTTTCATAAAAATTTATCAAGTACTTGCCAGCATCCTGCCCAAGTTAGTAGCAAAATCAAGATTCAATCTCAAGAAATTCAACTCCAAATCTTACCCTTTTCATTATTGAAAATGCCTAACTTGCTATTACTTTATTAAACAAGACCTCCAAGTTTAAAAAATTTGTCAAATTTGTCTGAATTGCCACCAAAGCTGTAGGATAGCTATTTGCAAGCTACTTTCATGTCTGATCTAGTTTTCTCACCTGTGAACCCCCTCAAGGTCACCTGGCCCTTCCACCTTATAGAATACTGATAATCTAAGCAAGGAGTAAGTGAAGCTCCCAGCCTCAGTGCTCGGCAGTGGGCACATCTGATGTGGCTTCAATCCTCCTCGGGGCCTGGGTGCTGCTGTTGATAGTATTATGCACAAAATTTCAAAGTGACAGAGAAATACCAGCTGGCTAGAAAAACAACATAGTGAAGACAGAGAACACATGGACAGGGCACCAGAAAGATTCACTATGTTCACCTGGAAAGACTGAGCAGCAACCTTGAGTAAGAGGAACAAGGCTGGAGGCATCGCGCTACCTGATTTCAAGTTTTCTTACTGGGTGTAGTGGTCAGGGCAGTGTAGGATAAAATGCACTTGTAGACCAATGGAGCAGAATGAGTAGCCCAGAGATAAACCTACAGACGCACAGTCCTGATTTTCTATGAAAGCATCAAGAATACACAATATTTGGGGTGGGAAGATTTGGCCTCTTCGATAAAAGCTGTTGGTAGGACTGATATCCACATTATGCAGAAGAGTGAAGAGTTGGATCTTCATGACACATCATGCAAGGAATCCAACTTGGGATGGAATAAAGGTTAAACTTCAGGACCCAAAACCATGGAATTTCCATAAGAAAACCCAGGGAAATGCCTCGTGACATTGGCCAAGACAATAACTTTTGGATATGACACCAAAAGCACAGGCAACAAAAGCAAAAATAAGCAAGATTTCATCCAATGAAAATGCTTCTGTACTGCAAGCAATCAATGGATGAAAAGCAAACTATAAAATGGGAGCAAATATTTGCAAAACATGCATCTGATGAAGGGTTAATATCCAAAATACACAAGAACTCACACAATAGCAGGGGGAAAGAAGAGTGACCTGATTGAAGATGGGCAAGGGTGGACTTTTCTTCTCCCAGGGGAACAGAGGGTTAGCCAATAGGCGTTTACAAGGGAAAGCTCAGAATCTCTGGGCATTAGTGAAATGCAAACCAGAGCCACAGTGCACCTCACACCTGTTAAGATAACTATCATTTAAAAAAACAAGATGCAAGTGTCCGCCATGATGTGGAGAAAGGGGAGCCCTTGCACACCGTGGATGAGAATGTGAATCGGTTTGTCATCATGGAAATCAGTGTGGGGGTTCCTCCAACAATTAAAAATAGAATCAGCATGTGATTCAAGAATTCCACTTCTGATTTGCATCAGAAGAACTGAAATTGGGATTTTGAAGACAGGCTCACCCATGTCCCTTGCAGCATAATTCACCATAGCAAAGATGTGGAAGTAACCTGGGTGTCACAGACAGATGAATGGATAAAGAACGGAGTGTTTTTCCACCTTAAAAGGAAGCAGATCCTCTCAATCCATTTGCGATGGTGTGGTCGGACCTGGAGGGCAGTGTTCTGTTAGGAGAAACAAGCCAGACATTGATGTAATACTGTCTGATGTCACTTCTGTGGAATCTAAAGTGGTCAAACTACAAGCAGAATGGTGGTCACCTGGAGCAACGAGGAGCAGGTGATGAGGTGAGGCTTAAACGGTACCAAGTTTGAGTGACACAAAATGAAAAAGTTCTGCAGACCTATGTAGCATAATGCCTGTTACTAACAAAACTGCTTTAAATTTGCCAAAAGGGTACATCTTTTGTTAAATGTTCTCAACCAAAAATGCCAATTCAAGAAACAGTAATAAATGGAGCAGGAGGAACCTTCAGGAGGTGATGGATGTGTTTATCATGCTGGTGGTGGCAGTGACCTCACTAGTGTATGTTTATCCCCAAACTCACTGAGATGTCCTTGGACGTCAGCAAAGTGGTAAAAAGATTGACTGTGGTTAAGGCAACGTTCTTACCACAGTGTGTAAGATCCTGTGTGATCCCCGAGTTCCTCCAGCGCCACCATCTCCTCTCCGACCTCTCTACCTGCTCTTTCCCACCTTGAATCCTTTGCACTCACTGTCCCCTCTGCCTGGAATCTTCTTCCCCAGACACCTACAGGACATGCTCCATCACCTCTTCAGGCCTCTGGTTCCTCCTCTAAGCAGAGATGCCTCCTCAGACCTGTTTGAAAAACAGCCCCAGCCCCTCGCCTTCTCTCCATGTCCCTGCTGTCCCGGTCACCTGCTTCTTGGTCTTTGCCTGTCATTACTTATTTATACTTTTGTTTATGAATTTCCAGGCCCTGCCATGGGAATGTAAGTAGCAAGGGAATGGTAACTCTGGTTTGGGGGTATTATATTCCCTCACACCTACATCAATAGATACATTAAAAAGAAATCCACCCCCAATACTAGGTGATCAATAAGTTAATGAATAAAAGAAACACTCCCGCCCTTTTCTAAACTCTCGGACACTGAAGCAAAATGAATAGGCGTCTCTAAAACGATGAGTGGACTGTTCCTGCTGCATTGGAACCTGAATCTCATTGAATTTTATTTCCAGTGAATTGAACTGGTCCCCAACAGAAGCCGTGGTGGCTCTGGAATAAGACCTGTTGGAGAGCCGACTCCTGCTTCCACAGGGCGAGTTAGTGCAAGCCCCACAGGGGCCCACGAAGCTCCTCAGGGACACCAATAAGAAATGGCATGAAGGGAATTAAGTTCAGGTTTGATAATTTGGTGGCTGGAGCAATTGTTGTGTGGCCTGATTTTTCTTTAATAGTCAAAGATGTGGCACCACCTGGACAGCGGCTGCTGGCGAGGTGCATCCCAGGTCATGGTTTGCATTTTTACGACGCCGGGAACCTCTTACTTGTTTGTACTCGGTGAGCATTTGGAATTAGATGAAGAGGTCGATTCTACTCATTTTAAAAATGTCTTCCAAAACTGGAAATGAAATAGGGAGAATGGCAATTTTATTCAATGAAGTCATTACTTTTGACCGGGAAGATGTATTAAAGTCTTCCAGACCAGTTTGTATTGTTATTTAGGGCCAGCTGGACCTTTTACAAAATTAGAAAAAAAATGTGAGGACAAAGTTGATAGAAAGCAAAGTGAAGTAAAGCCCCCAGGGACATGGGGTGGGGAGTTCAAACCTGTCCCCAGCCCCAGCTCCTGGAGTTTCCAAAGATTGCTTCTGTTCCCCACCCCCTCCTCATGCTAGGCTTAGCTCAGAGTAGCAGCTCAATAATTTCCTTTGAATTCAATTGAATCGTGGAAATAAAACTGCAGAGAAGTCAGAAAATCTGTTCCAGGCCCCAGTCAGGCTGTTTCTGTAGTTAGTTGATCTTGAGAAATTTTTCTGCCTAATTGGTTCCTACTTTTGTTATCCATTAAATAAGGGGGTTAGATTCTGGGGGACTTCAAAACTCTTCTATTTTTCTTCTGCTTGGAAAAAGCTCCATGAAGTTACAAGAAAGAAACTCAAATTAATTATACACATATGTGTAAAACTACACACACACACTCACACACACACTCACAGTATAGATGTGAATGTAAGGAATGGTCATTCCAACCAGGAACAGGAGGTTCTGAGTCACCCCACGATCATTCTGCCATATATTAGCTGGGTGACTGGGTGACTGGGTGACTGTGGATGGGATAGTTAACTTCCCAACACCTCTTTTTCTTCAGTGAAGGTGAGATTTAATAAGACCACAGAAGTATAGCGCTTAGCATCATGCCAAGCACCTACTAAGATCTCAGCAACTATTAATCAACGTTATCATCAACAGTATTTAAAATAGGAATGATTTCCGCTTAAGCCTATGTAAGAATAGCACTTGACAATGTTTTCTATAAATTCACTGCATTTTCTTCTTGTGTTTTAGAGAACAAATCCATAAAGGGAAACAAGGTAAGTCAAGTCATTAAAATATATTTGTTTCTCTTTTTTTTTTTTAAGTATAGAAATATGGACCATATAGAAGCTTAAGATATTACTTGAAAAATATGTTCTAGGAGTTTGGTCATTATTTGTAATTTCTAATCATAAACAAAAAAAAATTCACCCCTTGGAGCTTCACAAAGAACAACAAATGTAATTTCCAATTCTCCTTCATTTCACAGACTCCTTTGCCGCCTCCTAGGTAAGACATTGAAAATCGTTTTTTCTTTTGCTTTAATACTTAAACGGTTTGTGCTGGTGCCTGAAAGGAGAGACAATTGACCCAGGAAAACTGACACAATGGACAGGACTGACCCAGTCTCCAGGGGTCCATTTAGTCCCGCCTTCATTCACAGTTACCTGCCCGTGTCCCTTCCCTTACTGTTTCTCCATGAGTGTCTTTCTGCCTATCCCTTCCTCTTTCCCTCCCTTCTCTTAGTACAGAAATCACCAGATCAAATTGGGGTATGCATCTCATGCCCAGGTGCCCAGGCGGTGCCCCACGCCCACTCCACACACCTCAATCATAAGTCGATAAGCCGCGGACGGACTTGGAATTTGGGTGAAGGGCTTACAATGTGGAAACATATGTTTAAGGAAGAGCATACTCCAGAGAAACACAGACGCTAGGATATTTCTCCATGTACTTAGAGGCAAGAGCTGGAGCCCTGGCTTCTGAGGCGCCAAGGACATTGGCCACTCGCGTTGCTTCCCTGGGCCTGTGCGGCTCTGCAGCATTGGTGGCCGTCTCTGGCCATGGTTTCTCCACCTCCCTCTCCTCCCTCCCAGAGGGAAGCATCTTGCAGTCAACACTGTGTCTTTTCCTCTCTGCATCTCCAGCATCTACCAAAGGGCCTGACACACTTTATGAATCAATGAATCAATGAGTACATAAACTGGGTGAGGGGGCATTCGTTGACCTTAAAACCCTTCCCTGTTAACTCAGGTCTTCCAGTCTGGGAGAGACGGAGGCCTTTATTCTTCTTTCCCCAGGATTCCTAACACTAAACAGGCAGCATTTCATTTTGAAAAGTACATGATGCCCTGGAGAAAAGCACATCACATGCTGTGGGAAACAGCAACCGATCAAAGGGCAGGTTACAGGAAGTAGATTTAGACTCCTTAGAAGAATGATCACACTGACATTTGGAGCTACGTGGAACGTGGAATGGGTCGGGCTGAGGATGCAGGAGGCAGGGTGAGGAGCTTCCCGAGCTGCAGGCGGGCTCAGGCCCACTGTGGTCTTCACCCTGTGATCTTCACCCAGGCCTCCCGCCACTCTCCCGAAGCAGCACCAGCCCCTGCCCCCGGCACCGGCACCAGAGAACAGTGCACCTCTCCCCCAGAGACACACCTCTCCAGAAGCCCAGGGAGGGCTCAGGTGAGAGCCTTATTCTTGCTGCAGGTGGAATGACCAGGAAGAGTGGTGGGCAGGGAAGGGGTCTGCTCTAAAGGCACTGCCCCAGGGCGAGGGGGCCAAGGACACCCAGAGGGAAGGGTTTTAGAAGCCTGTGGTTTGATTGTTCACAGAAAGCACAGCCTCTCTGTAATCAAATCAGCTATTGAAAGAACTGCTCCCTTGAGGCCTGAATTTGTTAAAGAAAATGTCACACGCCAGGAGGAATTCAGGGCACTGTACGTAAAAATCAAAAGGGGGTTCTGACTATCCAGGACCAAACACTCAGGCTGGGGAAATAGCACCATGATTTAAACCCCTCCTGTCAAAAACGCTCCTGCCATTTTTGACAAATATATAAAAGCCAAACCTCTGGAATTAAGGGCTAATGATGATCTACAGTCCTAAACATGCGGGGCACTCGGCAGCTGATGCTGATCATAAAATGTGGCTAAACCAACAAACAAAGAAGGCCAAAATTGCCTTCTTTGGGAAGTCAGTGCTGAAGCTGCGCCCCTCCCTCCCTTCTCTCTGCTTTGTGACTGCAGATTACAGTAGCAGGTTGAGGCCCAGGGCATGACTTCTCTAGACGGCTTCTCCAGGAAACGTATCTCAGGAATCGTCCCAGGAATTGAGGACATCAGGCCCATTCTGAGCTTCTGTGGGGATCCCATGCAGCGCGGGTTCTGATGGGGACACAAATGACCAATGCCATTGCCCCCCAACTGTCTGGTGAAGGTCTCATCTTTGCATCCTTTACAGTCCCACGTAACAGACTTCTTCCAAGAAGCACCCTCTGTTCCAAGGCATGTCCTTCTGGTCTGTGGGAAATGGCATGGGGTCTCACATCTGCAGTCAAACTGCTGCGTTGACATTGAGGTTGTGCTGCTTATGCCTGCGGGGAGCAGTTCTCAGCTGGAGGCAGCTTTGTCCCTCCTTCCCCCGGGGGACAGTCTGGAGAATGTGGGGCTGTGAAGACTTGGTTGGTTGGTTGTTTGGTTGGTTGGTTGATTGGTTGGTTGGTTGGTTGTTTGGTTGGTTGTTTGGTTGGTTGGTTGGTTGGTTGGTTGTTTGGTTGGTTGGTTGGTTGGTTGGTTGGTTGGTTGTTTGGTTGGTTGTTTGGTTGTTTGGTTGGTTGGTTGGTTGGTTGGTTGATTGGTTGTTTGGTTGGTTGGTTGGTTGGTTGTTTGGTTGGTTGTTTGGTTGGTTGGTTGGTTGGTTGGTTGTTTGGTTGTTTGGTTGGTTGTTTGGTTGTTTGGTTGGTTGGTTGGTTGGTGGGTGGGTGGGTGGAGGGATGGTGCTGGCATGCGATGAGAAGAGCAGAGTGGCTGCTGAGCACCCCACTGTATGCCGGGGAGCCCTGAACAGGAGCAGGAGGCCAGGGAAGTTCTGTGCACTGGCAAAGAGACCCTGCCTCAGGACACCCTGAAAACCTGAAAAATAAGGTACAGACTTTTTTAAGCCAAGGCTTTTCTCAGGAAGAAAGAAAAGTATCAATGTCCACCACCTGCCTTGTGGGCTAACGTGAGGATCCAATGGGATGATCCCATCAACAGCACATATCTGTGACAGTTACTGCACGCTTATTACCTTGAGCCCCTTTCTGTGCATGCCCTTCTCACCCCTTATAATGCCCTGAGATTCTAACCTAGCCCTCCACTCCAAAGGGAAAGGCTAGCTCATTTAGGTATCCATGCTTCCTGGCAGTGACTGACACATTGCCATGAATGTCTGACAAATATGTATCTCCTGCTGCAGCTTCCAAGGGTACCTAACCAGAGCAGGAGTTGGCAAAGTTGCTCCATTTGGATTTTCACTTTCAGAGTGAGAGGCAGAGAGGCAGTAGACCCTCAGACCTATGCATGGTGTCATCAGAATTGGAAATACAAAATGAACCATCCAAAAACTCTTGGTCAAAATGTTAAGAACTGGTCAGACCCCAGAGAAGTCAGGACACAGGAAATGGGACTGATAAATACCGTATGTGCTGAGGTTATTTGATGTGAAGAAGGGGCTTTGGTCTTTTTTTTTTTTTTTTGCTTCTTTATGCTGGAAAGAACAGGATCTTGGGCCCCAGAAGAACTGGGTTTGGATTTCACCTGAACCACTTCTGGCTGCATAATTCCAGAAAGTTCTTTAAGACCTCCAAGGCTTGTCTATGCCCAAGTTTCCAATATCTGACATCAGGCACCCTCCGTCACTGAAGTGTCCACAATGCCACCATTGAAACCACGTGGTGTTGGTCTCTCGGAAAGTTGGCACTTGTGTCTCTGGGTAGTTGCAATTCACATGCATTCCATCATTTGGGGGCCTGTTGAGAACTGGGCTGGATCTCTCTGCTACAAACGGCTCCAGGGAGGGATGGCATTTTGTCCTGTCACCTCCTCCAGCCACCCTGTAAAGTACGGTATCCCAAGGCTACGATGGTACGTAGGTGCTCGGTAACGGTGCCCATCACGTCACCAGGTGTCAGAGAGGTGAGGTAACTCAGTCAAAGCCACAGGATGGCAAGTGGCTTCTGAGGGACAGAGGCATGCAGCATCTTGGGGGGCCCTGGGAATGCCACCGGCAGAGGAGCATTTGCTGAGGAGGAGAGCTGTGATTTCCACTGCACTCCAGCAGGGTCCACATGGGTGGTCAGGCAGCCTTAGTGGTGACCCAGGTCACATGTAAACAACCTAGTGAGGCTGGGAAAATGCACCCCTCCCCTTCCCAGCAGCTGCTCTGTCAGGCACTGGGGATGTGTCGCCCCCCCCCAGGCAGGGACCTTGAGGTGCAGCTGGCCCTCAGCGGCCTGGATTGTGGACAGCCTGGCTGTGGCAGCTGCAGCCCATGATTGCCACGCTGCCCTGAATGGCGGCTGTGGTTCCAGCTATTGTCTTTCAGCCCCTGTTTGTCCCCACCAGCTCTGCCATTCTCTTTTTTAAAGCTAAGTCTTGGCTTCACTAAACAATAGCTGAATGGAAGCACTTCAGTTCACAGAAATGTCATTTAGATCATTCATTGGCAACTAACTTGAGGTCTTTGAAGTTTGGAGAACACGGGTGGGATGTCCTCAACCATTTCTGCACCACGATTATTATTGTCACAATATCTACCTATTTAATGTTTCTTTCCCTAGTTCATTTTTTCTTCACTTAAGTAAATTTAATTCAAACAGAGACTTATGACCATATATAATTGCAGCACAGCAGTTCCAGACCCAAACTTTGACCCTGGGGAAATTTCTATTAAAAGAAATGAGACGCAAATGTTAGATTAGTGCTTAGGAAATCTTACCACTGGGTAAGATTCCAGTGGAAGTCCTCTCCTGGAAGTCCTCTGAAAGGGAATTAAAAAGAGAGGGACTTCACAACTATGGATCCACCGCAATTTTAACACTGTGGCCATGCACCGAGTGATAATGAGAGCAACCAACAACATTTCCTGCATCTACCTGCCCATCAGGTCCAGCATGGAGTCTTTTGTCTATATTAGCCCGGGCTGTTCCATAACTGGCTGGATTTGTCCATTTCGTAGATGGGAAAACTAAGTTTCAGAGAGGGAACTGAACTTATCAGGGGTGACAGAGCCCATAGATGACAAAGAAAGGATTCAAATCCAATTCATTTTAAACTAAAAGATGTTCAAGAAGGTCCACAATTATAGTAAATGATACTATCCTTAAATTTATACTAAGCACACATTATGCAAAGGAAATAATGTGAGAACTCTTTTTCCAAGTAGTTAATGGCCATGTGTCCTTGACCATCTCCATGGACAAACCAAGGAGGTCAGAGAGGCTCCCTCTGACTCCACGTGGGCCTGGGAAGGATCAAATGTGCAGAGGCCAGAGGGCCTCACCCTGCTATGCAAAGAAGAGGCTTCTTAGATTCCCCACATTGTCTTAAAATTCAGCTTGTTAAAATGACACATTCCAAAATCTACCTTTCCTGAAGCCTCAAGTTTCAATCTGTAAAATTCATTGCTCTATTTATAAATTGAGTTATTTTATGAGAAGAGAAACACAGTCACTCTGCTTGTTCTATAAATGTGAACTAACTCAAGCCAAGACAGTTTAAGGCATCTTAGACAGTAGTAACTTACAAACTCAGTTAAATCTACTTAAATATCTGAAATGTCTTTATAAATTGAGCGTACCTGATTTTTAAGTACTTCTATTACTGACAAGGTAGTTTTAAATTCTAGCAACCAAACTTTAACAATTTTTGTAAATCACATAAAGTAAATGTATATAGAGAGATAAATACAGAAAAAAAAATCAATTTCTCGTGCACAGTTTAAATGCTTTACAAATGGAGTTGATTCAAATGCTTTTCAAATGGAGTCAAAATGTGTCTTGACTATTGTAACTTAAAATTGAAAGTCCAAAATCGATTATACATGTTTAAATTGAAGCCACATAGTCAGTCCATCAACACCCCTACTATGCCAGAGTCTCTTAAACATTAAGAATACTGAGATTAGTCTCAATTTAACTGCAAAATAATTAATAGTACAGGTGTTTGTTCTACTTGGTTGCTTCTGACTATATCTTTTACTTCTTACCTCCTAACTAAAAGGCAAGGGAGGTGCAGAGGTGGTATCTGTCTCCGATGGGCTGAGATGATCGTTAAAAGCTGTGGAACCCAAGGACAGTTGCCCTAGCTTGGAAATTTGAGACCAGAAAGTATCTGAGATCCATGTGCTCTGGGGCCATTTTGCCCAAGACAGAGAGACCCAGAAAGCTTTGGATCCACAGCGCCTGTGAGGTTGGCGAGGCAGTCTTTAACCCCCAGCATCCTTCAGTTCCTGGCCTTTCATTGATGGATATGATAGCTGGGACGGGCACCCGCAGCCCGCATCCTTAGTTCCCATGGGGAGTTTGGCCACATTCTACACTGAATGCCCCATTTTTCTTATTATCTCTAGCAGTTCTCACAATAACCCTCCAAAATGAGGACGCTTGTTGGCATTTTGCACACGAGAAAATGAGGTTTGGAGAAGTTGACTTTCCAATATAATGAACATCTGGGAGATGATTGCTGAGACTCGGCCAGTGTCCACAGAGTAGGATTCTTCATTGGATTCTTTCCCTTTTCCTCTCAGTCTCATGATTCTTTTCCTGACTCAGGCTCCCTTTCATTGTCAGTAATCTTTCTTTTACACTCACCTTCCTGGGCTGCCACTCTACCTGACAGCTTCATATTTAAACCCTTTTACATTTTCTCAGAGGAGAAAAAAACTGAGAGCTTTAAAAATCTACCTGACAATAGGTCTGACTGTGCTCATGAAATCTGACATGGGAATCAAATGTCAGGAGAAATGACAACGTTATTTAAATTCTCCTAAAATGAGAAGCAAGTATATTTGTGTCCTTGCAGTCACCACCTTTTATATTGGCTTCTTTTTTTTCCCTCAGAAAATTATGAGAAAAAAATAACCTGCTTTAGATTTATAGAAGAGTGATAAATATCACACTGGACTACGGGCTGTTAATTTGTCAATGACAGAGTTTTATAAGGGCTCATGATGACTCTATCTTGGCCATTATGAATTGTTTTTTATTAACACCATTTTTCTTTTTTCATACAGACAGATAAGCTTAAAGGACTTAAGTGGGGTAAGTAGCAATTTTGTCCTGGGAAACAAAAAGGGAATTCGTGTGCATGAGGTGTCTACAATGAGCAACATTCTCTCTGGGTACCTTATCATACTTTGTTCTTGTGGTAGCCATGCTCAGAATGAATGATCCCCCCGGCCCCTGCTTTAAAGATGAGAAACCTAAGTTAAACAGGTTATGATCCAGAGGGTAGAAGCAGACCCTTCTCTACCCCATGGTCATTCAGTGTTGACGGATGCAGTGGGGACATGCCCCCTTCCCACAGGGGAAAGCACGAAACCTGCCTCCTGGCTTCCAACCTCCACTGCACAGAAACGAGGTGTTGGCAGCTGTAGGCTCTACGCCGCTTGATCTTCACAGGGAAAACAGGACTGCAGAGAGGAAGACAGATGAGATTCAGAGCCTCACCAATCTAGGTGTGAACCCTGCTCTGCCCCCTGCTAGGGTTTATGAAGTTTGGCAAGTGCCCTACACACCAGGAAGAGAGGGACACATTTCTGTGCAATGTTGTGGTAAAGTCAAAGTAAATACACAAATGGCCAAGGGGCAGTAGAGGCTCAACAAGTAGTTGAGTCATGGGAGTTCCTGAGCACCCCTGAGGAGGAGCAGCAGGTCACGGTGCTCTTGCTGGGGGACCCTACACATCTAAGGTACCTGAACCCAGAACTCTGCCTCTAGATTGGGTTTCTGTGCCTCAAGTAGAGGCTGGCTGCCATGGAGATGTCTTCAAGTCTATAACGCAAAGATCAGTCTGACAGGACATGTGCCCCCCCTCCAATCACCAGCGAGCAAGAAGGAAATGGGGAGGCAGCAGGAAGTGTGCAGAGCTGTTGGTTCTCCTTGCCTCTTTGGCTGGCTTCTGTTGGAAGACAGTGTCCTCTGAAGAACAGGATCTAATAGAAATACTCATTGTTGCATAAGTTTTGCCAACCTGCTTCTGCATTGTTTGTCTAGGCTGAGATTCAAGGTCATTTCTCCATTGCAAAAGCCCATTCAGGAGGCAAATGCCACGTGTGTGTGCACATGGAGTGATTGCTTAATTATGTCTTGCAAAGTAAAATATATTTCAGCAGAAATGATGTGCTGACTCAGATGCACACGGCCCTCTGTAGTTTTCAAAGTGAATAGAGACTCATAGTCTCACCTCATCCCTACAAAGCCCTGAAAGAAAACATGAAGACAGAGGGGTGACAAACTGCCAGTGTCCACAGCTGGCAGAGGACAGGCCAGTCCCTGAAATCGCCAAGCCCAGGTCTGCTCCTCAGAGTCCTGACTCTCCGCCTTAAAAATTAGAGGGACAGCCTGAGTTAAAGTAAAAAGAAAAGAGAGGAAGGAGATACTAAGGAAGGAAGAAGGAAAAGAAGGAAGGGAGGGAGGGAGGGAGGGAAAGGAGAGGAGGGAGCAAGAGGGAAGAAGGGTGGACAGCAGGAGGTGACATTTCTCTCTCACTTGAATATGTTGATTTTCTAACAACAAAAAAGTTAAAGTAGAAAAACAAGAGATACTGCACTTTTCTAACTGCATTGATTTTAAATTCAGAGCCCTCAAGCAAAAAGTTGGCTGGGTCTCAATGAGATAAAACAACTGCCTCCCCAGAGGAAGCTCCTCCTCTGCTCGTACCTTCTGCCTTCCTCTCCTTTGACAGCCCGAGAGCTCCTGCCTCTGAGTGAGCACTGGGAACTGCCAGGTTCAAAGTCCTGGGGAGGCCTCACCGGGGAGCCTTCTAAACCACTGGTTAGAATGCATTCGTGGCCCTTTGTACTTGGCCATGGATTTGCTTTGATTTGCTCTCCTAATGAACAGTTTGTCCTCCTTCCAGAACCCTAGGGGCACCATGGTCTTTAAAACAAAAGTTCTGTTTGCTGGCTTCAGACAAGACATAGGATGCCCCTGTGAGCAAAGTGTTGCTGCAGGTTTCTTATCTATCTGTGGAGCAAATGTGAGTTGGCAGAGCTGGGCTCGGGCCAGCTTAGTTGCAGGATGGCTGTGGGAACATGGGCAGATGGCATCACCTCTTTGGATCTCGTCTGTAAGCCAAGGACATTTTACATTTTTTCTACTTCAAGGACATTAAATTATTCCTTTAATAATTTGATGCTGAGTTATATACCTTCCTCATTCCACCAAAAATGTATACACATATTTATAGAGGAAAACCACTTTTATTTCAAAAGGTTCACAAACCTCATTAGAGCACCAATGGCTTTCTCATCCCATAGGTTAAACAAGTTCCTATGAAACTGACACCTGAGGTCGTCTCCAGGTGACTCAATACTTGAACCAAACTTAACATAATTATTCCTGGTCAAACATGCCCTTCAGCAAATATCATACAGATTCTACTGTAAAGATTCTTGCTTCTTCAAGAGATCACTGTGGTGAGGGATACCAGTCCAATAAATGTGGACATTTTCATAACAAAGGACAGTCAGGAACTCTGCCACTTTTAAGGAAAGAAAGAGAAAGGAAATGTTTGGGAAGATAAATGGCTGTGTTTAAAAAGAATAATGCAAGTATCTTCTGCTTATTTTTAAAAAAAACATTTGAGAACAGAAGTATACAGAAAAGATTATTCATAGCCTCATCACTGAAACACAATCTCTGTTGGTATTTTATCTCTTTGAACTGTTTTTTGCCTCCACACACGTACATTGAAGACATAATAGCATGTAAATGCATGAGGGGCCTAGTTTTTATCCTGGACTCCAGTGCTCCGCCGAGGCATGCTCCCAGTGCCCCCGAGTCCAGCCTACATCACTACTTCAAATGCCTTCATCAGAGTTCAATAAGCAAGGAACACACCAAAATTAACCATTCTTATTTATCTGGATGTGTGATGCTGCCCAGCTGTATGACACTGTGAGTCACGAGGCTGAACACCTTGTACCTGAGCTTGGTCCAGAGTTCAGGTTGTTTCTTGGAAATAGTTTCATTGAGGCAATTGTTGCAATAGGAATAAAGCATGTCTAAGACCCTTGAAATTAAATTAGCTTTTGTTCAGTTAAATTACTTTCCAATTGGTTTTTGTTCAGTCTTTTGGAGAATTATGGATTTTTTAAAACTCTATACTAAAAAAAATTTTTTCAAAATTCTACTATTTTTAAAAAAATCTATGCTAACAAAATTCTTCCTGAAATTCTACTATAACCAATTTTTTTAAAAGCACATATAGTATTATATTAAATTCTGTAACACAGAAAGTCACTCAATGTTTTTTTTTTTTTTAATACAGGTCCTTGAAGCAGAAGAAGGTAAATTCTTTACCTTAACTTTCTTTCCCTACTGCCATTAGGATGTGCTGTTTCTAGATCGCTAGTCATAATTTACAAGCATTGTAACTGAAGCCCAGGATGTAAGGATACGTGCACATGGTGAAGGGATCAGAGGGGTCTAGGACCTCACAGTCCACTCAGCGTCCTCTGGTCTAAGCAAGGAAATTTATATCTGGGTTAAATCAGAGGTCTTTCTTCAGCCCAGGTATTACCAAAAGGAGTCACACTGTCACCCCTGCCACTGGGCAAAGAGACCTTGGTGTCCCTGCCACAACACACACACACACACATATTCACACACACACATTAGAGTTTCCAATGACATCTATTATCCCAGTAATAATAATGATAAATTATTTGCATGAAAATATGGTCATTTGAGTTAGCTTTTAACAGTCCTTGATCACTTTCAACATTTTCAGAGAAGCATGCAGTCTGACACCCACTAAGTGGCAGGATATGGAGCAGGCAGTGCCTGATGTCCACCTTTGTTTGAAATGCCATCCATTTTGAATGATAAAATATGTTCAGAGGCAAAATATGTTCTGGCCCAAAGAGGGAACCAGAGACAAGTGCCCATCCTCTGGGGGTCTCAAGTCTGCTCTTCTGTATATATTGAGGAAGTTAAACCCAAAGAGGGGCCTATCTGATTTTGTGACATCCCACAGATCCCCGATGGAGCAATGGGGATTTCATGGACAATTTCAAATAATTTTAAAACTTACTGAAAACATGTCCTTCCCCGCAGTAAATTTCAACATGCAAAACTCAGGTGTTGTTGCACCAGGTTCCAGTGGTCATCAGCACAAAATGTGACATGGTTCAGCTCAAGAGGGCCAGAAGCTCTGGGTGACTGTTGATGGCACAGAATGAATTTCTGGGATGTGTTATTAATGGGCCAGTCAGTAGCTCCAATCACATTTCAAGTAATCACAGTCGTTCAATCAAAGATTTTTAGTTTGTGACCAACCTTGGACACAAAACAGAGTAACATCCTGAAACAGTGCCATCAGTGTCTGCATGCTTCCCTGGCTTCATTACCTACAGTCACAAGTGGGAGAAAGTTCACGGAATTTTATATTCAGGAGTAGTCTGTGCTCTTGGTCATTCTGGATGGCTAGTTAACTCCATCCATGATAAAAAGGAAATCATTAGCAGCAACACCAATGGCATATGTAATTACTAACTAACTCCAATGAGTATGTTTGTAGAGCTTTTCAAAAGTTGATGATCAAGGAGAAAATAATGAGAAAATATAGCCGTGGTGGTGACTACCTGGGAACTGCCAGTCGACACCAGAGTCCTGGAAGCTCCCCTCCCTTTTGCAGGAAGGGTCTGAGAATACAGGTGTCTTGTGCTGGCACTGGGCTGCTTGTCCCCTGCATTACCCAGAGCAGTCCTCTGGTTTAACTTTCTTCTCACTAAGAGCTCAGCTCAGAGCTCATCTCTCAGAAGGTCTGCTTGGGCCCCATAATCACTCTGGATCCAAAGTAGAGCTTTACTTACTTCCTGTCACACTGTGTGAAATGCGAGCATTGAGGCATTGCATGCCTAGTTCCTGTCTCCTTTCCTTGGAATGTAATAACCACTTCTCCCTTCTCACTGTGACCCCAGATTCTGGAAGAAGACCTATCTTATAGAAGCTGTTCAGTAAATATTTGCAGAGTGATGTGAATGAATGAGAATCAAGTCTTGTAAACTAACTGGTGTAACATAATCCCTGTAATATCTCCCAAGGCAGTACTCTGTGTTTCCAGGAAGTTTGTAATGTGTGTTCCCAATTGTAAATGCTCAATGTAATTTTTATAGTCTCAGAGAAAAGATACCCCCAGGATCTGGGAGGGTTGTAGAGTTTTCAATGACATCGACATCCCAGTAATAATAATCAGAAATTATTTGCATGAAATCATGGACATTCAAGTTGGCTTCTAACAGTCCTTGATCAACATGCAATCTGACCAAATTATGTCACACCTTTACAGTTTCCCATGACAAGATGAGGCCAGCATCATCCCAGCCATCGCAGAGCCGAAACACGCGGAAGATTCCTCTTGCCCTGACCAGGTGAGGAGTCACAAAGTACCCCCCAGGTTGCAGCTTGGGAGTAGCAAGGTGCTCTCTTGGACAATGACTACCAAGGCTTCTTGGCTTTTGATTTTGACGGCATTGTTGAGGCATGAGGGTAACCTGTGAACTCCAATTATCGTTGAATCTAATGATGTTGTTCTTTCTCTAATTTATGACTGACCATGTGTTAGTGAAGGGCAGGGGAAAGAAGTGAATACTAACTAAATCAGATTAACTGGAATGGGCGCTAATCACTCTTGGAGGAAAAGTTGGTCATTTCTAGTTATTCTCAGTTGGTGTTCACATCAGAGCTAATAATAGTCTCTTTGGAACAGAACTTCATAGTGTTAAAAATGCATTTCCAATTAGACAATCGCCTGATCAAGTTATTGTGACAGCTGTCAATTCCACTGAAGAGCTGCAGACACAAAGCCTCTGGCGAATGACTCATTACCAAGTCACTTTAACTTAATAGTGGCTTGTTCAAAAACCAAGACCTCCACAAAGTCGCTGCTGCGAGCCCACCTCCCCATCCCACCCTGGCCAGGGACCGACCTTGGTTCCCGCCACTCCCTGCACACGCTGCTCACAGCTCCGGGACGCCTGGAAGCCACCTCACTGCCCACACTGCTTCCCGCCACCCTCCCCCACATGGGAGCTCTCTTTCACTCATCACACCCCAGCTTAGAAGCAGACTGAATCGGGAGCTCGCTGGGGCTAGCCTTTTATTCTACCTTTATTCAGCGGGGCCAAGTAGAACTCTGGTTGAGCAGGACCTACAGGATCCAGATCCCTGCCGCCATACCAGTGAGCCGTGTGACTTGGCCAGCATCTCTGTCCCACTCGGGAAGCTCTGAGCAGAACCAGGCATGAAGCAAGAGCCTGGTCAACGCCAGCTCTCAGTTCTGTCGACAGGCCTGCACATGGCACCACACGCCGTGACGCCACACGCCCCTTCCCTTCTCCCTGTCACGTCCTTTCCTTGTCCGACTTTGTGCCTTTACCAACATGTTCTCGCCCCTTAGCTCATGGGTGCTGGGACTATTGCTCTATCCCCCTTCCCAGGCCATTTGCTGTTCAAACCCCTGATGTGACACATCAAACCCTTCCTTCACATAACTTTCTAAGAGAAAAATGTATCATTATGGTGAAAGGATAATGAGCTTTCATTCAGGCTTATACCTGTTGTAGTTGGTTGATAGGTTTTGGCTTACTTTATTTGCTTATTTAATCTATTTCACAAAGTCTCCTGATTCCGGCATAATTGCCTTTCTTAGAGTTATTTCCCAAACTGACTCTAAATGTTGGTGTTACTCAGTTTATCTGAGGCTCTCTTTTCTGTCCCTAGAGGACATCTCAGTGCCCAATGTCAAGCCATGTTGATAATCCGCCTCCCTCCAGCTTCTGCCCAGGCCTCCTCTCCTGGCTCCAGTCCTGCACATCAGTGTTCCTTAGATAGTTCACAAGCATCACGGCTGATTCTGTTGGGACTCTTCATTTCTACTCCCAGTCCCAACCAACAATGTCTTCCTGCAGACTTTCTCGCCTCAGTCCTGGTGAACTTTCTTCCCATTATCTCTCTTCCCATCCAATCCATTCCCAACTCCCAAAATTCTACTCCAACCTGTCTGAGTCTCCCTATGTCTCTCCTTCCTCCCCAGCTCTCGCAGGCAGACCAGGGCCATCAGCTCCCCTCTGTATTGTTGTGATAGGCTTCTGATGACTCCCAGAATCCCCAGGCCCTCTTCCAGGGCAATGCTGTCCGGTAGTGACCTTTCACTGCTCAGGGACGTGTGCTGGGCACACCTTCTCCACAGTGTGCACCAGGTGTGCTCTGATTGTGATGGAAGTGTGTCTCCCCTGCAAGAGGCAAGCTCTCCCCGGGCAGAGCATGTCCATTCATGTTACTGTCGCCAAACACATCACCCATCTAGAAAGTGCTCAATGTGTGTTTGTTAAATGAAAGAATCGTGACTTTTATCTTAGTTTTAGTTGTGTTATTTTGGGATTTTTTTCTTCTGTCCTTATATAGTCTGTACTTAAGACCTAGAATATCCTCAGAGGATATTCCTCCTCTTTCAAAATTTCCTAAAAATTCCAGAAAATTAGAACAATCTGGCTGCTTGTTATTTCCCCAGACATTTAACAGAAGTGTCCACTGGCTCCTAATAGAGGGACACTGGTGGAGAGCCTGGATGGCAGAAGTCTGACCCTTGGTACAGCACACTGTGGTGGCCGAAGGGTCTGCTGGCATTTTCTTGTACAAAGCAAGCTGGGAGGCCCCGTGGGCTTCCCTGGGGGTAACAAAACCCAGATCCATACCCAGGTGATTTCAGTCGGTGCTAGGAAAGGGTCAAGTTCCAGATAATTAACCGAGAGGCTCTTTCAGTCCTTGGAACAGAGCGCATACCAGGAAATCAGATTTAACTGTCTTAGCACCTGGAGCTCCTGTCCGCGATGCTGACCACCAAACAAAATGAACCAGAAAATTCGAGCAAGGTGCTAAGGGAAGCCGCTAACTGCTGCCTCAGAGCCTCTGTCTTGTGTTTAGAAATGCATATTGCTATTGTGATGGTCTCACAGCCTTCTAATCCCTTTTTCTTTATGGAACTCCCAATAATAGTCAATATCGTTTTCTCACCCAGCTCACATTTCAAGATGGAATGAGACCTCTGTACTCTTCTTCCCAGCTAGTGCTGACTCTCAGTGGGTGAGCAGTTTCTATAGAATAGGAGCCCAACCAGCCGATTATTAATTTCTATGACTAAGTACAAGGCAAGTCAAACTCACGACTTTAAAAAGTAAAAAAAAAAAAAAATCTGATGTGTGCTCACTGCAGTGACCTGGGAAGAACTTCTGCGGATCAGTGTTTGCATTTCATATCTCATATTTGCTGGCCTTGGACAAGGAGGGGAAGAGCCAGCCTCTGGTTGCCATAGAAAACCAACAATTCTTCTAGCCTATTCAGTAAAATATGAAGTGCTTTAATGCAGTTTCAGCCATTACCATTGACCTTGCCCCTGGATGGAGTGTGAACACCACAGGAAAGTCTAACATGCTGTCATTTTCTCCAGCTCTTCATTTGTGCGAAGCCACAACAATCTGCAAGACAGAGGTAAGCGCACTTTAAGATTGTGAAATAGCAGGTAAGGCATCGCACTATGATATTCCTGCACATGAATTAACTTCTGTGAACCTCACAGTCACTGAACTCACGTGCACAGATGTGATCAGCTCCTTTTCAGTGACTGATAATATTTCATTGGATGAATACAACTATTTAAATTCATAATCAAGTATAATCACTGAAGTCGTTTCCAGTGTTTTCCTTTTATGAACATTATGTTATGAACATTATTGTAAATGTCTTCATTGATGAATCATTTCTTTTTTTTAAAGAGAAGTTGCTGGACCTTCAAACATGTGTCTCTTTAATTTCCTCAAATGTATTGTCCATGGCAGATGGATCAAAGCAACAGTCCCCCCCTCTCCAACAGTTGATTTTGATGAATAATTTTCCCAGTCCTTTGGGTGTGATAGTCATTTACCTAAAAGCAATCTAGAAAATGGGAAAAAAATGCAACTGACCCCTCTGACAGATCGATTGTATAGAGAAAACTCACAAGGGCCTGTGCACAAGTTCAGAACAGCACGCAGACACAGCAGCCGTGACAGCTGGAGGTGGGCTTTGACATTATGAGTATCCTTTTTCCCAAACTAGAACTTCCATGTGCCTCCGCCTTTCTTTCTTCACTTCCAACAACAGCATTACGCTGCAGGAAGCTCACCCCAGGGGTACAGTGAGGAGCTGAGGGGCACTGCTGACCTTGGTCCAGTTCTGCCTCTCTCCCTACAGTGGGCCACCTTTGAGCAAGTTCACCTCCCCATCCATAAAGTTCAAGTAATTCATATTCCTGTGGATGTGATGTACACACCACACACACACACACACACACACACACACAGCCCTCTGCTTGATACAGCAGGCCGTGGATGTGTTCTAGACCCTGCCTGCTTTTCTGCATTCCCTTCTTTCTCTCTACCACTGACCTCAGTAGACTTCCCGATTCCTCTCTGGTCTCCTCCTTTCACTTCTGCTCTACGCCATCTGGGCTTCCGTTTTTCCAATCTAAGATCAAGATGAACTCATTTCCCCTACTCTACAGAAAGCTGTGATTAACACAATGGAGTCGTCCCTGGGAATCCCAGGGATTGACTGTCAGGAACAGCATAAGACGAATAGATTGGTATGTCTTGGGGGAAAGTCCAGGGACTGAGCCCGCCCAGGAAGGGCATCCCTAATGGGGGTTGCAGTGATATGAAGCGGAACCACGACTTAGAGAGGAATCCAGAGTCTTAGCTTGAAAAACCATGCCAGGTTTGGTGGCACACGCCGATAATCCCAACAATTTGGAATGCTGAGGCAGGAGGATTGCAATTTCAAAGCCAGCCTCAACAACCCAGCTGTCTCAAAAGAAAATACAGAAAGGACTGAGGATGTGTCTCAGTGATAGAGCACCCCTGAGTTCATCCACAGCACCAAAATAATAAATAAATTAATTAATTAAATCATGCATAATACAAAGTAAGAACCAATACAAGAATGAAAAGGTAGTGTTAGGGGACTAGACTTCTCCAGCTGTGGGTAGATCATTGGACTGGGATCTTGTAGCTAGTTCTCAACTCATCTCAGAGGAAGCAAGGTTCTTTAAAGAAGTCTGGACTGAGCAGGGGAAATGCTTTAGCCTCCACTGTTTCCTCTTTCAGTCAACAGACCTGGATTCATATCCAATATTGGGGTAGGTCCTAGGGAGGCAGAACAGAAGCCCTCCTGCTGACCTGTGCTTAAGTGCGTGTGAAACTCTCCACCAACTCACTGTGTGTTCATTCTGCTAAGGAAAAACCCCATCTGGGTCGCTGGTCCTTGGCAAGGTTGGATGTGCAGAAAACACTCCCCTCCCCGCCTAGCAGGGCCTCTCGAGCACACGGCTTCAGCTTACACATCTCAAGGGTGGACATTCACAGACACCAGTGAAATCTACATCTCTGTGGACGTGAGGTTGTTGTCCTTGTCTTACAACTGGGACAAGAATTTTGGGAAAGTTTAGTTCAGTCACTGGTAAACATGCTTGTTCTCATCAGTGAGTTCAAGCCAGACTTCATAGAGAGTGATCCACTCACCATCCAACAGGGTGCAGAATAAAAAAATAAATAAAATTTAAAAAAAAAAAAAACATGATCTGGCAGGTTGGATGAGAGTCTAGGAAAGCCTGTTTATACCCCCCAAATAGTATCAGCATTATTCTCTGAAGATGGAATTGTGGAAGATTTGTTTTCCCTTTTGTTTATCACTTTGTGGGGAGCAGGGGTATCATGGATTGAACTCAGGGGCACTCGACCACTGAGCCACCTCCCCAGCCCTTTTTTGTATTTTATTTAGACACAGGGTCTCACTGAGTTGCTTAGCGCCTCACTATTGCTGAGGATGGCTTTGAACTCACAATCTTCCTGCCTCAGCCTTTCAAGACGCTGGGAATACCTGCATGTGCCACCGCACCCAGCTTATTTATCACTTTCGTATATTAATTTTTAAAAAATATTATTTTACTCTTCTTTAAAGCTGATTAATATTCCATTGAGTATAAATACCACATTTTCTTTATCCATTCATCTATTGAGGGACACCTAGGATGGTTCCTTAGTCTAGCTATTGTGAATTAAGTTGCTATAAACATTAATGTGGCTGTATCACTGTAGTATGCTGATTTTAAGTCCTTTAGGTATAACTGAGGAGTGGGATAACTAGGTCAAATGCTGGTTTCATTCCTAAATTTATGAGGAATCTCCATACTGCTTTCCATCGTGGTTGTACCAGTTTGTAGTTCCACCAACAATGTATGAGTGTGCCTTTTCAACACATCCTCACCAATATTTATTGTTGCCTGTATTCTTGATAATTGCCATTCTGACAGGAGTGAGATGAAATCTTAGAGTAGTTTTGATTTGCATTTCTCTAATTGCTAGAGGTGTTGAACACTTTTTCATATATTTGTTGATCAATTATATCTCTTCTTCCATGAAGTGTCTGTTTAGTTCCTTAGCCTATTTATTGATTGGTTTATTTGTTTTTATGGTGTTAAGTTTTTTGAGTTATTTATATATCCTAGAGATTAATGTTTTATCAGAGGTGGATATGGTAAAGGTTTTCTCCCAATCTGTAGGCTCTCTCCTCACTTTATTAATTGTTTCCTTTGCTGAGAAAAATCTTTTTAATTTGAATCCATCCCATTTATTAATGTTTGATTTTACTCCTTGAGCTTTAGGAGTCTATACTCAATGGAATATTACTCAGCTTTAAAGAAGATTAAAATTATGGCATTTGCCAGTAAATGGATGGAGTTGGAGACTATCATGCTAAGTGAAATAAGCCAATCCCACAAAACTAAAGGCCAAATGTTTTCTCTAATATGCTGAAACTAATTCACAATAAGGTGGGGGTGGGCACTATGGAAGAATAGCTTTACCTTAGGTTAGGTGGAGGGGAAGGGAAGAGATTTGGGAATAGGAAAAATAGTAGAATGGAACAGACATTATTACTATATGTATATATGTGACTGCATGACCAATATGATTCTGCAGCATCATATTGATCAAATATCAAATGAGAAATTATATTCCATCTATGTATGATATATCAAAGTGCATAAATGCATTCTACTATCATGTATAACTAATTAAAACAAATTAAAAAATTTTAAAAATATATAGGGTTATTTTTATATAAAATCAATTTAAAGTGCAACATTAAATTAAAAAGTCTTCTAGTAAATGGCAGTGAAGTACTTGATTAAAATGATTTATAAGTTTTGACAGACTAAGTGGCATAAGAATTTTAAAATAAGCCAGGCACAGTGGCACATGCCTGTAATCCCAGTGGCTTAGATGGATCTGAAGCTGAGGCATGAGGATCATAGGTTCAAAGCCAACCCCAGCAATTTAGCAAAGCCCTAAGCAACTCAGCAAGACCCTGTCTCTAAATAAAATATAAAACAAGGCTGAGGATGTAGCTCAGTAATTAAGTGCCCCTGGGTTCTATCTCCAGTAGAAAGAAAAGAAAGAGGGAGGGAGGGAGGGAGGGAGGGAAGGAAGAAAGGAATGAAAGAAAAGAAACAAAAAAAAGAAAGGAAAGAATGCATTAGTGATTACTGATATCAGTATGATTTTGCAATAGGCTACCCTGCCTTGCCTGTTACTGACCACCTGGCGAAGTCATTCTTGCATTTACATTGTGTCAATCTCTTCATTCCTGTGACCCTCCTTTTCTAAGAAAAGCCCTAGGTCATAGGGTTGTAAAATGCAAATGCAGTGTTCCCTGTATGTGAGAAGAACCTTCCAAAGCTTAACTGCTTCCCTGATTTTATAACAAAATTGACTCCTTACTTGTAGCTGAATACATGCTCAGAATTTCATTCATTCAACAAAGACTCAAGCAGAGTTTCCGGAGAAAATTCTGCAGCAAACTTGTTTTGTTGAACTCATTCTCTGAACAGACTACAAGTGCATAACTGTTTCCAAACACTCTTTATTAAGCAAGACTCTTTAAATATTCAAGCAAGACTTGCAGGGTTGAAAAATAATAAATCAGTTGCCACAAAATCATGAAAAATTCAAAATCACTGAACACTGTTATGAATGAAACACAAACTATGTGGCAGGAAATGCTGTTAATGACTGTTTTACCTTCAAGAATGTTCTTACTGCTTCAACCCATGCTGAAAAAGCAGTTATGGTCATTTAAATAGAGAGTCTCTGCATACTGCTGCACTGCAACCTAAAATAAAGTTTTGGAGCTGATCTACTCTATGCCAGCATAGCTGTTAGCATTCTCTTGGTCGGGATTTGCCTGGTGTCTAGTTCTCCATGATTTTACTTAGGATTTCTCTGTTTCATTGCACTCCATGTGCAGTTAGCATGGAATTTTTAAACCAACTCGCATCTGATTTTTAAAGGCTAAGTTTGCATCTCTGGTATTTATTTTGATTGTGAATATTCTGGATCTATTTTATAGCATTTTGTGCCTATTTAGCCTATTTTTATTGACTTTTTAATTTGTTTTTTTCCTATGATATATTGGACCCATCTCTTCTTTATACCCCCCCTTTTCTTTCTCTTTTTTGAAAGTTGTATATTCCAAATTATTCTTCCATTGGTTAACTTTAACATTTTAAGTTAAAGTATGTTTGAGTTTTTAAAAACTGAAGCTGGTATTCTCTTCTCAAATAATACGAATAACTGAAAGCATTTAAGAATATGGATTCTGCATCATTTCAAAACTTTATTATTTATAAAAGCCTTACTACTTATAAAAATTTAGAAGGAGAGGGTTTCTTTAGCCATATTCCTGTTTTTAAGGTCATAAATTGGTGGGTAAAAATAATTTACTATGATAAATTTAATTGAATTAAATTTAGATTAGTTGTCTATTACAAATATTTTGATAATATAATTCCATATAACTAACACTCCTAGTCTCAACATTAAAAGCCACAGTCAATGGTACCACCAAGATGGAACTGTCCAGGTATGGGAAGTACTATTTGCTCTTCTTAGACATCTTGGAAAGAAAGTTGATTACTTGTAGCCGAATACATGCTCAGTTGGCTCAAGAAGCAGAGTTAATACAGATACATTCTAAATGTTATGGTAACTGGCTTATAAATATTTGCTGATATTTTATTTAGTATTTCATCTCAAAAGTTCATTGGGTTGAAATTAGCCCATTCTTTCAAAGTTCTTGTTAATCTATTAACCAGGACTGTAATTTTGGTTATATTTTTAGACCATATTAAGACTGTAATGCTTGTAATTGTTCTTGCATTGATCACCTTTCTTCAATTGTATGTTATTTGGTCCAGTATTTTACATACATATTTTATTCACATATTTTTAAAACTTTCAAAGTCTCGTGATTTCTGAACAGTTATTCCTCACTTAGAATTACTAGCAGTTACAAATGTCTAGTTATTCCTCCTTGTACCTCACTCCATCCCTGTGATCTCAATTCAAGGAATTTCATCTTTAATTCGTGTTTACTGGAAGCACATACAATGGAAATATTATTTTGGTTGAAGTATATAGAGAAAATGGCATATCAAAACTTGTCAAGTGTGGTAGTATCTTAAATTTAAGTTCCAGGGGATATCCTACTATATCAATGATCTTTTTTCCATTGGCTACTTTAAAATGTACTTGTCTATTGAGCGTTTGAATTAACCTTCACCTAGGAATGATTTCACAGCATCCATACATTGGTACTTGAAGAATAATAGTTTGCAGATAACAAGAAATCTTCCAGTGTTAGCAATATGTGTGTTTCATTTCTGTGACTATGACCAATACCCAAGATAAACCACTGCATACATGGAAAAGGTTTGTTTTGACTTATGGTTTCAGAGATCTCAGTCCACAGTCACTTGGCCCCAACACTTTGGGCCTGTGGTCAGGCAGAATGTCATGAGGAGTGTGTGTGGTAGAGCAGGCTTCTCAGCTCACAGTGGTCAGGGAGCTGAGAGAGAGGAAGGATTTGGGTCCCAAGCGTTCCCTTCAAGGCACCCCCAATGACCCAACTTCCTCCAAGTAGGCCGTAGCTCCCCAAGTTTCGACTACCTCCCAATTGCCCCATGCCCTAGGGACCAAGCCTTCAACACCTGGGCTTTGGAAGACATTTAAGACCCAAACCATAACAACATGTGATAATACTTTTAAAGTTACACTTTTGCAAGTGACACCACCAATCTCACCAGAAAAGTCTGTTGGGATGCTCTTACGTCACAGAGGCAGAAGCAAGCTTTCCCTGATTCCAATCTGCACTTGCAAAGTCTAAATTTATGATCAGCAACAAATGCTGCCCCTTTTTCCCATGAAGTGATAAGTTCACTTTCTTCATTTTAAAAAAATACTTGCCAACTACTTAAATTGGAATAGCCAAGGTGTGCCTATCAGTCATTCGTTCGAGTTTAAAAAGTGGTGTTTCATTTTTTTGAAGTTATTATTTTAATTTTTTTCGATGGTATTTCCTGAGTTGTGAATGAGCTTGGCATGTTTAAGAAACTGAACAGAGTTCATTACGGCCAGAAGAGAGCGGGCGATGTGGAGGAGGGTGAGGATGGAGAGAGCTTTAGAACACAAGGAAGAAGTTTTGCTTTTGTTCCAGGGAGGAAGGGAATCATGGGAGGATTTTGAAACAGGAAGTGGCAAAGTCAGAATGACATTTTTAAAAGATTACTCCGGGTGCCCTGTGGAGAGAGGGGAAGAGGTGAAAGCTGAAGCAAGAGAAAGTGCAGAGGGTGCAGCCCTCGAGGAGAGGAGGTGGGTGCAGCCAGGACAGTGGCCACAGATGGGCAGCGGGAGGCTCCTTGCCTCGTGCAGGGGAGGCAGGCTGAGCTGGTAATGCCATCACACTCAGCGGTGACTTCTCTCTTCCCAGGTGATGAGGACAGCATGCAGGCCTGCTCTGCCCAGAGGTGCCAGTCCCCTGCCAGCCACGGCCCTCCTGGAAACACACTGCCCCATCCGGACACAAGCTGGAGAGAACCTTTTCCAGCCCCATCTGATGAAAAGGTAAGCCAGACACTTCTTCACCTCGTCCTTCTGGGTGTAAGTTGCATCTGAAGAGAGCTTCAGCGGGCAATGCCCACGAGGAGGTTATTGTGATTAGCATTGATTTGTTTCCTTTATGGCTACATATTTGGGGTTCAACATTTCTAAAAGTACTTTTTGTACTTTTGTTTCATCAGTTTCTTCAAGCTGTGTGTTTCCAGATTCTCAACTATTTTTGTTCATTAATCCATAAAAATAGAGATTATTGGACTCGTGGAGGTTAAATAATCTTGTGGGGATTTAACTAGGATTTGCATATGGCAATTCTTTCTCGAACAAAATATTCACATATCACATACTCACTTCACTGACCAGTCCAATGAACATTTCCTGGGCACTTATGTGCCAAGCAGTGTGCTAGAGGCTATGGTCCCTGTCCCAGAAGAGACCTACAGAGGGGAGAGATGGCAAAGTTCTGTCTTTCATCTCTTTCCTGTTCTGGCTGTAAAACCAGCTACACTCATTAGATCCACTCCCTCTGGGACCACTCTGCACTCAGCTGTGTGGAGGAAGAGCTTGCTTTGTAGCTGGTGTGCCCTTCTCGCCTCACCTGTGACGTCACTCATCACAGGCCGTCCACTCAGCATGGACGGATGCACTTTGTCTGGTGTGCATCCCATGCCCCTGTATCGTTCACCAACTTTACAAGGTTGGTAGGCAGAAGCAGAGCATGCGGGCACCTCTGGTTCATTCCTCATAATCCCTGAATCGTCTCAAAGGCCTTGTTGTCCTTATACTTAACATTAATTCCAACCTAATTCTAAAAGTTGTCTTTTACTCTTAATTTAGACTCGGGGAAATCACTGCCCTCACGTCTTCTATTGCCCCTTCCCCTGTACCTGGACGCCCTTCACTCTGCCATCTCTGTAAGCATGGGATCCTGGGTTTTAACTGGATCTCACCCAAGGTCAAGCCTCTGTCAGAGCTTGGGGTTCCTTATGGGCAGAAGAGAGGCTCAGACTAGAAGAGGATGTTCCCTGCTTTCAATTATTTACTCCCAACCATGGTATTTACTTAATAATGTACTTTAAGTAGACTGTTTTCTTTTGGAATCACTACTCTAAAAAAATAAATAAAAATAGTATTCCATGCCATGGATAGAAAGCAATCTTAAAACTAATTCTACTCCCCAGTATTTCCCCCAAAAGGATTGAAAGCAGTCATATAGATATGCATACACTCATGCTCATAAAGAAACTATTGATAATAGACAGAAGATGTAAAGAACCTAAATGTCCATTGACAGATGAATGGATAAGCAAAATGTTGCACAAATACACACACACACACACACACGCACATACACACACACACACACACACATGCGCAAATTATTTAGCTCCAATAAGGAATGAAGTTCTGACATGTGGTACAGCATGAATCAACTTTGAAAACAGTGTGTGAGTGAAATTCAACAGACACAGAAGGACAATGTGTGCTTCCTCTATATGAAGGACCTAGAGAAATCAAACTCATAGAGGCCAAAGGTCTGGAGAGGTAAGGGTCATAGTTGTTGTTAATGGGTGCAGTTTCACTTGCAGAGAATGAGAGTCTTGGAGATGCATAACGTAACAATGGTTTGGAAGTAAGTGTAGTTAATGCCTTTGAATTGTCACTTAAATGGCAAATTTTTACATTATTTTATCACAATTTATTTTAAAAATCATTGCAACAGAAACAAATGAAATCATAGCAGGATCTCGCAGCCTGCCAATGGCTATCAGCAGAAGAGTTTCTCTTGTGTTAAAGGAGAGATTAAAAATGTCAGAGATATTAAAGAAATGCACAAAAATGAAATGTTCCTCTTGAATTACTCAGAAGTCTAGAAAGAGAACTGAAGGGCAACACTGCTCCTACCCCAGGCAGCTCAGAGCCACCTAATGCCAAGTGGAGCAATGTCCACACCTCGGGCCCCTCCCGACCACACCTGGAGACACACAGGCCTAGAAAATTCTACACATCCTCCAACTTGAACAAATAAATCAGCACAGACAAAAGTGCACCATGAAGGAGCCCTGCCAAGCCCCGGGCTGGCCAAGAGCACCCCAGACTTCAGACAGCTCACACTGCAGCAGGAGGTAGGGTCCCAAGCCGCCTCGGGCCGGGATCCTATCACATGGTTTTGAGAGAGAGTAGCATACTGGGTTCTCTTCTGGACCCTCCCAGCACCTACTCTCCCTGGGGCTGTGGATGAGGTGAAGTCATATAATACAAAGGAGGCCTCGAATAAGAGGTGACTGTGGGTCCCAATCTTGATGGAAGGGAACGGACAAGCTGGGTAACAGCAAGTGAGAACAGGAGGGGTTCTGGGCACAGGTCTAAAGCTGGGTTTCTAGGAACAGCAAGCTCATCTGGCTGCCAGACACACATCCTGCGATGGTGGCAGGAAAGGAAGCAGCAGGTGGGCGCTTGTGCATGCCTGCTGATGTCCTCCAGGTGTGCTCACCATCGATGGATTGGGTTTAGTGGGAGGGCCAGACTCCAAAAAAGTCACCAAAGACCCAGGGTTGTGTCCTTAAGTCTTACCAGCCACGTGGCAGGTTTTGACTTCCTGAGCCTCTATGGTCCCTCTACTAACGTCAACACTACCTGTCATGCCTGTTTCACAGGAATAGTGTGGGGATGGCCTGGGACACTAAATAAGAAGGGCCTTGTAGAGGGGTCACCCAATTTTTTGATCCTTGGCATTCTCTGACAGAATTGCAGATCCGTGGTTTTTCCTATTGTCCTTCCTTCACCCTGTTGTGGGGGATTTCATCATCAAAACAATCTAAAACCTCTTATCAGTGATGTAACTAAAGCAGTGTGGGATAAGGAGAAAATCTCAGCCCCACCATATGGCTGCAGGCTAGTGACATAAGACACTCCATCCACACCCCTCTCCCTCCTTGCTGCCTTCATGATGGCCAGGAGAGCTGGGCTCCTCAAACGATATCCGTCCCCCCTCAATCAGCTTCAGCAGGGTCTCGAAGCCTGAGAGACGGAGGGTCTACTATCCACACTGAGGGCAGAGCCAGAGACTCTTTCCACTGACTCTCAAAGACAAGCTTCTCTCCCTCCTGTCAACCTCAGAATCCCCAGCTGAGGTTATTTTTTCTGCATCTTTTTTTCTCCAAAGCAGCTGTGGGCATCTCCAGGTTCAAGGACAGGATTTCATTTGCTTGATTTCTACTACACCTGTAGCTGGGCACTGGTAGAACAAATAAAATTAGAACAAATAAAATTAGAGTGAACTCATTGGTAGTTAGAACTCCCCTTTGGTGCTCCCTAACATGTCCTTCCTGGAACCTGTTCTGTAGGAAGTCCGGCACAACGAGTGGTACGTTGGACAGTACAGTCGCCAGGCCGTAGAAGAGGCGTTAATGAAGGAGAACAAGGTAACACATTCTGCAGAGGCCATCACTGGTGACACAGTGGCCTTATGCTTTTCTGCTCTAGGTCACAGGCTGTGACAAGCAGCACAGTTCCTGCATCACCCTGCACGTCTCAGTGTTGGGAGGTTGCCATTGAAAAGGGGATTTAAAAGGGGACAGTTTCAGATCTACATCTCGGTTTTGCCACTTTCCAGCTATGTGACTTTCTCGCATTCCTAAATAGCCTTACCTGTAGATTTGGGGTTTTTTTAATTCATAAACTGAAAAATAGTAAAAAATCAACCTCAAGGAAGTTTGGAGATCAAATGTGGAAACACTGGAAGGTTCCTCCTGGATTCCTCAAGTCCCATCTCCTCGCTAAAGGTCTGCCTAAGGCACATGGGGTCTTTATGTTTCACTTCTTCTGGAAAGGAACAGGGACCATGAATGCTGCATGTCAGCACGTGACAGGTTAGGCTGCAGTAACACAGTATCCCGGGGTCTCAGTCATTTAACATAACAAAATATCATTTCTCCTTTGCACTCCACGTTTAAGACAGGTCTGTTCAGGTAGATCCGGCTGCTGGCCGTGTCATCTCCATGGTGTGCCTCCACCTTTATATTCTAGATCTTTGCACTTCCTCTCCAAAGTAATGACTTCACCTCTGCTCACATATCATTGACCAAATTTACATGACCAAACCTAACCTCAAAGAGGATGGGGAAGTACAAACCTACCATGTAGCCAAAAAGAAAAGAACTAGAATATCTGCAATCAGAGCAAATGACTATCATAACCACCATCACAAAGCAAATAGTTATCATGCAACTACTATGTGCAGAGAACATAGTAGGTGGCTTAAAAGTGATATAAAGTTTATCAAGACTAATTCAACATCAAAACCTATCCTCAACTAACCGGTTCCGTGGTCATTATTGAGTAAGGAAAAAAATATGAGTCAGTTAATCACTGACTAAATATGATGGGTCTCCAATAAATTTTAATAAAACATCATTCTCAGAATTAGTAAACCAATCAATAAGTTATATATATTTCTATGATAAACACAATCATGGCCCACCCCAAGATATCCGCCTCCTAATCTCTAGAACCTGTGAATATCACTTTATATGGAAAACAGGACTTTGCGGATGAGATTAGGTTGGGGATCTTGATGTGGGGAGGTCATCCTGGGCTAACTAACTGGGCCCAGAATCATCACAAGGGTCTTTATAAGAGGGAGCAGGGTCAGAGAGGAGATCTGGTGATAGAAGTCTAGGTCACACTGATGGGGAGACGTGAGCTGGAAATTCTAGCTGCCTTTAGAAACTGAAAAGGCTGTGGAAACAGATTTTCCCTACTGCTTCAAGCCACGGAGATCCACGTTAGACTCCAGACTTCCAGAGCTGTTAGAGAACATATTTGTGTTTTAACACAGGTGCCAGTAAAGTATCCTGAGCATATCAGGAATAAATGGAACTATCCCATTTCCTGAATGAAGAGACAGAGGCTAAGCCAAGGGCTGCGTCACAAAGGAAGAAGTGGCAGAACCTGTATTCAAGATCAGTGTCCTTTTCAGTAATCCTCAGATGCCTCTGGGAGGCACTGCAGTCTTCACAGCTGGATGGGGAACCCCAGTGGCCGGGTGATGCCCACCTCAAGGACCTTCCCTTCCACTAAACAGGCTGCGCTGGCCTCTGCTGGGTAGAGTGGCAAGGACAGGGAAGGTAGACTCCGGCGTGGGCTCCCTCCTTGGCTGGTCAGTGCCAAATGCCCTTGGAGGACCTGCACGTGGAGCCCAGGTGTGAACCATGCTAGAAAAGCAACGTGCCCGTCACCAGATGCCCCTCTGACAATGTTTCACTTGGACACGCAGTAAACGGCCATCCCTCCCCTTTGCGCCTGCCTCTGCTTCTTCCCAAGAAGCATGGAGGGAAGAAACAATCTAAGATGAATGACTTCATGATTTCCTTAGCATAGCTCCTTTTCTGTTTGTTTCAGTTGTGTCAAAATGTGTTTCCGATTTATGGAAGATAATTTAATTTAAGCTGCAGGATTGCCCAGATTTCTTTTGACAAATTCAATGTAGAGTTCAAGATGATAAACCCATAACTTGGCCCAGAGCCTTGGCCCCCTCTCCCTGTCTGATCTTTGGCAATGCTCTGTGCTGGAGTATTAAGGTTTCAATTATGGATGAGTGTTTTATGCAGAACAAGTTCCAGAAAAATTCCTCAATCACACTTTATGTGCTTGGAGCCTGGAGTATTTAAAGAGCAAGAATCTGGGTTAGACTTTTAGGTTTTCTATTGACTGACTGATGCTTTAGGAAGTTCACTTAAGCTCTTAGGCCTCAATACCCTTTACCTTCTAAAGTGACGTTAAAATACCTGTCCCTCAGAGTTAATGTAAAGATGAAGAAGTGTATGTGAAGGGCTGGGCACCTCAAGAGCTACTCAGTAAACCTTAGCTGCCTGCTGTGTAGTGTAATAGGTCTCTATAAATTTAATGCATTTGTGGCATGTAGAGCACTGTATAGTACTTTTACCATTATTACATATATTAACATCTATAACTATGAATTTCAATTATAGATAATTATATATAAATACTATATACAAACCAGGCCTATGAACAGATATTATATAGCTATTACAGATATCATATACAGCATATATAGACAAAATACTACATACAATCCATACCTATAGAGATATTATATATAACCTATATGAAGACACAACACTATAATAACCCATATCTATATATCTTATAGAGAGACATAAAGTAATTATTGTATATAAAAACCTATATCTAAAATATTTATCTTCAGTCATTTATACCCCTCTACACAGTAATCCATACAATCAGCTGCAGCCTTCCCACCATGTAAATGATGCAAGATGACCATCAAGGGGGCCTGGGTTCAGGAGGACGGCTTCGTTCCTCAGCCTTTCACCACCAGACCATCTTCCCGAGCTTGTCTCTGGAGGGTGCCTGATCACTGTGACCCGTGGCCGGATCTCAGCCCTTGGACCCTTGATCCTGTTCACCTTCTGGAAACCCTCTCATTTCTAACTCGCTTGTGGGACCCCAAAGCTCCTGGTTTTCCTTCTTCTCTGGGCAAATTTCCTTCCTTGCCCTGACTTTGCCTCTGCCTCACTCCGGTGGATCCCATCCTCTCACAGGTCTCTCCACTAATTTTGTATTCAAAGCCCCCTGCTTCTATGGGGGACCCTGGTCCTCATTGCCATCTCCAAGGCCGATTACTTAGGTTAAAATCTTCCCCTCTCAGCTGATGTTGGCTTGACTCTCTCTAGAAGCCCCAAGCAGCAGGCAGAACCAGAAACAGGAGGATGGTGACAGAGGCAAGGACCACATGTCAGAGGGGCGGGAGGGCTGTCTGTTCAAAGGCTGAGAGCCCCAGGACAGGAAAGATGGGAGGTCAAGCCACAAGACAGGTGGGCATGTCAGCCATGAATGCCATTCTGAGGTCAGTAGAGGATGATGGAAGATTTGCAAGAAGTGCCAGGATCCACCCAGTACCCTTCTCAGAAAGTATAAGAACCCCATCCATCCAGATGCTCAATAAAAACATACTGCCTTAAATTCCATAAACAACTGTTTTGCCCAAAACTAAACCCATATGGGAATCTAACCCTCAGGAATATTCCTTGTTGACATTACACGGGCAGGACACTGGTGTACCTGAAAAGATGACCATTATTCCTTTTGTTTCAGGATGGTACCTTCTTGGTCCGAGACCATTCCACAAAATCCAAGGCAGAGCCCTATGTTCTGGTGGTGTTTTATGGGAACAAAGTCTACAATGTGAAAATCCGCTTCCTGGAGAAGAGTCAGCAGTTCGCACTGGGGACCGGGCTCCGAGGAGATGAGGTGCGTGCACCCGACCTGGGTCCCTTGCCCAGGCTGGCAGCAGCAAATACAGGTAGAGTCTGGAGGATGCTGCATCCCCAGGGCCCTGAATGAGCGCATGGTGAGTGAGCAGACCAGTGCACATGCCCGCCACACCCAGCCACGGAGAGAACGCCTGCTTCAAAACCAAGAGACGAGGGGCCAGTTCTCACCTTGGTGAGGACTGGCCAGTGGATGAAGGCCAAACACCCAACAGTGCAGGGACACACGAGTCTCACCACAAATGTTAGTTACTATATTTTCATTATTTTTAATGAGTCCTTTTAATAACTAGAATATCACCCCTCTCTGATGAACACAGATTGTGCATGGACTTGCCAGCTCTGATTCTCTTTATCCTTCTACATCTCTTCCAGCCCATAGAAATTTCTCATTTTTAAGAAAAGCATTCTATGATTTATAAATGCTTGGGCTAAAAGGCTCCTCTTCCTTAGAGAATACAGGATGTGGATGTCATGTGGCTTATGCGTGCCAGGGGCCATTTAATTTGATCTTTCTTGTGGTCCTTGAAAAGCAGTGGGAAGGACACATTGGTCAGTCCCCTTTGCTGGTGAGGAAACTGAGTCTGTAACAAAGTTGCAGCTGTTTGGGGGGCAGGCCCTCTTTGGTCTGCTGGGGGAGAGATGAGGCCAAGCGGCTGTGTGGTTAGATGCTCATGGAGTTAGGCTGTCAGCTGTTCACCAACAGCCTTTGCAAAGAGGAGCTCCCAACAAAGGCAGCCCATAGATCCAACCCTCGGCTTCCAGATGAGCTACTCCAATTACGGCCACCAAGGACCCTTAGGAACCCAATGCCTATTTAAAAAAAAAAAAAAACCTTTTTGATGAATCCATAATTTTCTATCTTTGTGTCCTCTAAACATGGGTTTCCTTTTCACGTATTTGCTGACCTCCTCCTTGCATTTGCTCTGCATTGGCACCACTCTGAGCAGTGAATAACCATTAACTAACTTGATCCATAGAGTCTTTAGAGCACCCTTGGAGCCAGGTGCAGCTGACACCTCCATTTAACAGATGGTGAAACCAAAGCACAGAAATGTTAAGTAACTGGCTCAAGGTCATGGCTAATAAACAGTAACACTGGGAGTCAATATAATCGGAAAAAAAAAATGGCTTCCTCATAAGGTCACAGATAACATCAAGACCTACCCATTTGAAAACAGCCCAGAACAAGTAAGTTAACGATAGTTAGTTAACACTTACATGGCGCTCACCGTTTGCTGGACACTGGGTGAGAAAATGCAATTATCCTCCTTGAGAGAAGCTGTCCCCTGGCCCTTTCAATCTGAGCCTTGGCCTTGCTGGGGAAGAAGCTCACATCTTCAAGGAAAGATAGATGGAGCAATGTGGTGTAGCAAGGCTCTGCTAAGTGCAAGACATCTGCAGGCTCCTGCATCTGTGCTCAGATGGCACTGTTACCACCTCTGCAGGAAAAGCATAATGAAAAATTCAAGGACAGTTACTAGTCACATGCTTTGTAGCTGTCCCCAAGTTCCAGCAGTACCAAACTCATGTCAGGCTTGTAGAGGCAGGTGCTTAATAAGCATCATCCAGTCCACCTGGTGTGATCCCTGAAAGCATTTCCTTAGGGCTGTGTGCCCCGGACGTAGGCAAGGACCATAAGGGCTGCAGGAGAAGTCTGATCAGGCCCCTGAGAGGCTCTGTCCGTCGGCACCCCTCAACAGCACGAAGGGTGTGCAAATCCTATAGGTCCCCAAATCAAACGCCTGAGCCACTCCACCTTGCTATGTATTAAGAAGCATGGGTCATGTAATTACCCGGATGCCTATAAATTCATTCCTGAATTCAGATTTAGTGATCATCTGTGGTGTTGGTTTTCCAAGGGTACTATTGTAAATTATCACAAACCGGGTGGCTTGAAACAAGAGAAATCTCTCTCCATTCTGGAGGCTAGAGAAAATCAAGGCATCAATGGGGAGATGATCCCTCCAGAGACTCCAGGGTGGGCTCCTTCCTCAACCCTGCAACTGCTGGCAACTGTGCCATCATCGGCTTCCGTGGCTTCTGGCCCCGCCCTCCCAGTCTCTGCCTGTGTTCACACTGAAGGCTCTGCTCCCGCTAAAGTCTCCCACCACTTCAGGAAACACAGGTTTACATCCGGGGCCCCAGACAACCTAGGATGAGCTCCTCCTCAAAAGATCCTTAATACTGGTTTTACCCAATAAAATTAGATTAACCCTGTGAACATGAAAGTGATAGCCATCGACTCTGGGACAAGGACATGGACATGGGAAGGGGGGTGCCACTTGGCCCACTCTGCCCATTTTCTTATCTATTGGCCAAACATTAATTTTATGCCTGCACCTTGCTAGACTCAGTGCTCCATCCTGGGAACAGACTAGAGAAAGGGAGAGTCCCTGCCACCCAGGGACACCGTGTTCACCTGTGCCTACCTATGCAGGCACCTAAGCAACAGTGAGACTGGTTCAGTACCTGTCCCGGCCAGCCAGGGAGGCACCTTCCCTAAGCAACCTGTGGAGCTTTACCTGCTGCTAAATGCCAACCCTTATCTAAGCTTTAAAAGTCCTGTTAGGGCATTCTGGGAAAGATGAAAGAAGACAGCAATTTCAATTACTGGTCCCTCGGCAAGTGATTACAAGTTTCTGAAAATTCAATGTTTACTTGAGAAATTAAATTTTAAAGACTAAGATGAACAATGAACCATGGGTTTATTTCTCACTACTCCTATCATTTTATTTCACCTCATCTCTCTTGGCCTTTCCCCCACCACCTGACACCCCTCCTCCTTTTATTTCCATGTGAGTATCTGATTTTTTTAGCAAGAAAAAAATGAAACATGTATGATAAACACAATACAAAAGATAAACACAATAGAGCTAAACTTTAAGGTCCAATATTAAACCATGCCTGGCTTAATAAATATTATAGGCATGTGCCTGTAATCCCAACAACTCAGGAGGCAGAGGCAGGAGGATCACAAGATTGAGGTCAGTCTCAGCACCACATAAAAATAAAATAAAGATATTGTGTCCACCTAAAACTAAAAAAAAATATTTAAAAAATTTTTTTAATCTAAAAAGTGCTGGGGATGTTGCTCAGTGTAAATCAGCCTGATTCTCACTAGTAAAAAAAAAAAAAGAAACAATATCTAATATTAAGATGTTATTTACTGTCCCACTGAAAAAAATAATGATTTCATATAAAAGTAATAATTATAACCTTTTCTAAAAATCTCTTTGGGGGCAACATTTCAGTTGTGGCCATGTCACTAGAAGTCAATAATAAATGACAACCTGATTAACTGTACCTGCCTTGCTTCCTGCTACTTATTATAATTATGATGCCATATAAAATATTATTCATTTAGTAGATCATTAAAACAATTATTATTGAGTTCATTATTTGAGGGCAAGCCTAAGGAAAAGAGAAAACAGAAATTAAGTCTAAGTGTCTTGCACCCTCTCAGCCTTTGACAGTGTCTGTGGCAGAGTTTTCAGCTTTTCTCAGTCTGTTTGGGATGCTATAATAAAATCCTATAGAACTGGTAGCTTACAAACAACAAAAACTTCTTTCTCCCAGTTCCAGAGTCTGGGAAGTCTAAGATCAAGGTAGATTCAGTGTCTGCCGAGGACTTACTTCCTAGTTCATAGATGGGGCCTTTTCACTCTGATCTCACATGATGGAAAGGTCTCTCTGGGATCTCTATAGTAAGGACATGAACCCCATTCACGAGGGTGCCATACTCATGACCTAATCACTTCCCCAAAGCCTCACTTCTTAATGCCATCACGTTGGGGGTGAGGATTTCAACATACGAGTTCTCTCCTGTTCCCAGAAGAATGAAGCTCCATTCCTGCCCTGGCCCCCCAGCTGTGTGACTCTGAGGAAGTCTTCAGGAAAGATCATTCCACCTGTTCTGCTGGCCTCAGGGGCTTGCAGAGGACGATTGGGTGGAGGCAGAGAGAACAAGTCTTCCCAACTACCTTCAAACGTTGCCCTCAGGAACTCGTCCAAACCCACCCATCAGAATGTCTGCATAGTTCTGCACAAGTCTTCCCAGCACCCGTCCTTGTCTGTGCCCTGTAGGTCCTGCTTTTCATGTCTCAAAACTTTCGCTGTGACTTATTTAGGATCACTGATCACACAAAGCCCTTTTCAAGTCTCTACTCTGGACCCAACACCTCCTGGTTCCCCAAAACGTGAAATAACCTTACTTCCCATTGCATTGCTATAGCACTTTGTCTCTCCAGAAACTGAACTCGGCAGTCACCTCCCTGTTTCATAAGAAGCCCAGGGAGGACAGCCAGACTGGCCAAGGACCAGTGGCCCCGTAGTTGTCACCACTCGTCTGTGCTAACTACAACTCCTGAGGACAAGAGGGCTGGCAGGAAGGAAAGCACCAGAAGTACTTCCCATCCTTTCCTGGGCTCCAGCTCTGTCCTCCCTTCTGGCTGGGCCCAGGTAGGGGTGAGGCTAGGAGGCAACAGAGGCGCCATGATACTTGCTACATAATCAGCCCACCTGAGTCCTTCTGCCTGGGAAGGCTGCGACAGGAGGGTGGTCCTTGGTCAGCGGGTCTGAGTCCAGGAAAGGCTCTGTGGGAGGAAACATGAAGAGCTGTTTGGGCTCACTGGAGTCCCTGCGAACACCTTTGTCACCTCCTCTCACCTGCTCATCCTTACCACTCACCCTTCAAGACCTTCTTTGCCAAATCCTTAAAAAAAAAAAAATTCACTCTAACCTATCTTTACATATGAAAATTGTGAGACTAGGTACCCTTGTCCCTGAATAAAAGAGAGCACCTTAGCTGCAGTGTAACCAGACATAAAAATGTTAAAAACCATTACCTCTCCTTTGTGTGTTGCAGAAGTTTGATTCCGTGGAAGACATCATTGAATACTACCAGTATTTTCCTATTACACTCATTGATGGCAAAGATAAAACCGGAGCCCACAGGGAGCAGTGCTACCTCACCCAGCCGCTGACCCTCGCTGGACACTTCCCGCCTGGCTAGCCTGGTGCTTCTTCCTCCTTGTTCATTGAAGTCAATCTGTGTGTCGTTTTGCATTTATGTCAAAAGATTATTTTTTTGTGTATTTAGGGATGACTTTTTTGACTTTGTAAAAAAGAAAGTAAACGTTCTATGATGGATGGAAATTGGAAAGATCAAACATGATTTTGAAAGTTGAAACAGAAATATGTATAACATGCAAGAGGATAAAAACCAGGCTCTTACAAGTATTTTCTAAACAAAAACAGCAACAATAAAAAACAGGGTATTATGCTCATGTTGCAGCAAAGATTGCAAGAAGGTATTGCTTAAAGACTTGCAGCTGGCCGGAGCATGACTAGATGAAATGAGGTTCCCAAACATGCCTCTCCACAGGGCGCTGAGCTGGCTTTTGTCCCAGAATTGCTTGGAGTTCGCACATTTACAATGTTCGGACAATTCTTTATGCTAAAAACGTTGGGGAATGCTAGTTCTACTTTATTATTAATCCAGAAAATTCTTTTATAGGGATAAAATATGATATGAGAAACAAGAGCACTTGTGATTATCAGCTGAAGGACAGAAACTGCAAACATTTTGACTATGGTGTGAAACGTCCACAGGGCCAGTGCCTAGCAGGCTCTGTTTACCATAACTCTGAGACAAATAGAACTAGTAAATTCATAGTAAGGAGCTCAGACCACATCCCATTCCAACCTTAAGGTGAGCATATATCTGAGTGAAAAAAGAAATGTTTTTAAACAAATCCAATAATGGTTCAAAGATACGGAATCACTGTCCTCAAATTAGTGCCGATTCATGCAGTGACATTGCATATCAAGACATTGTCTCCTCTCAAGACAAACAGGATTTAATGTGATTCCTGTTTTGCAATACAGATGAGGGAGTGAAGGTTCAAAGAGGTTATTGATCTCCCTCAATATAAGGATGAGCCCAGTGGGGTGTAGTGGAGCACACCTGTAATCCCAGTGGCTCCAGAGGCTGAGGCAGGTGGATCACAAGTTCAAAGCCAGCCTCAGCAACTTAGCAAAGTCCTAAGCAACTTAGTGAGACCCTGCCTCAAAAATTAAAAAAGACCCTGGGGATGTGGCTCAGGGTTCAATCCCTGGTACAAAAAAAAAAAAAAATCAGTCCATAAAAGGGAAAAAAAAAATTAAATACAGTTATCTTAAAACAAAGAAATTCTTGAAGTAAGTTTTTAAAAAGGTACTTTGAAATCAAGGGAACACCATGACCTCAAAGTGTAAATGTAAACTTCATGGGGTGTTCATGGAACGGGAGCTCTAATGCAGAAGTAAAACCAAATGGGACTCAAAGGCAATAGAATCCTGTGAAAGCAATGTCCAGGGAAGTCTCTTCCCTAAACAGTAGGCAAAGAGCTCTCTGGGAAGAGCTCGGCGTCCACCCAGACACTAACTCAGGTGCTCACCCTTACGAGGGCCTGGAAGTGATGTGTCCAAGCTCCATCAGGAACGTGCAATGAGGAAGCTCCCGGTGGAGGTCCGTGAAGGGCAGAACAGAGAGACAGGGAGACCCCTGTGGCTGCTGCTCAGGAGGCAGAGAGGGAGAGAGCAAGTGCAGGAGAAGCAGAGCAAGACTGAGCAGCAGGTCACGGGCTCTTGGCCAGCCGTGGCTCCACCCATGCCAAAGGCTGCCTATGAAGCAGAGCATCGCACGGGCAGAAGTGGCCGGGGCTCCGTGCCTCCCCATGCCATCTCTGCCCAGTTCCCTGGAAGGAAACAGACCTCCAGGTCCTGTGGCAGACCAGAGGGGCCACTCAGGGAGGCTGTCAGATTGTAACTCTTTTTGATTCTGACAACCGACAGTTCTCTAAGGAGGACAGGGCAGATATTCCTAACAGGTTTTATAATTGAGGAAATTGTCCTTCCTTGGCCAAAATCTTACAATGATATAGTTGTGACTGGAGCCAAGGTTCTCATAGGTGATTCTGTTCATTTTGCCTGCTTTATTGGTTTTTGGAAATTCAATATATGGGCTTGGCATGTCCACATTCCAGTATTTAACCCTCTTCAACCCTGACTCATTTTCAGTGTAAATGATACTCAGCCTCAGTAGAGCAGTAGGATTGAGGCTGTGTCTGAGTATAGCATCGGTGCAGTTGCTGTTTCTTTCAGACTAAATAATCCCCATTCTGAACCTTTCTCTCTGTCACCTTGGTGAAGAATTGTCGCAGCACTGATTTGCATACCACATGTGTGTTCTCTGGGAGGCACTACTGTGGAGTTGGAAACAAAGGTGTGAATAAGTGATTCCAGGCAACAAGTGTGCAAATAAATAAGTCAAATCCAAACTGGTTTCCTATGACTCTGTGTGTTTCTGTTGTAACAATTACCACTGAGAGTTTGTGTGGTGAGGCCAACATTAAATATTTTAATGAATCTCCCGATGGCTTTGAAAAGTCCTCAACCAGGAAATTATAAATTTCCCTCAATTTATTTCATAGAAAACTTCCCTTCTTGGTGTGGGTGTAAAAGAGAGAATAACTGCATCATAGTTGTAATTAATTAAATCTGGGCTAGTTACTATAGAATAATCAAATTTCCCCATTGGCAAATAGAGCCCATATCATACATATGTGTATCATGCAGTGCACATTTTATGATAGCCTAGGTTGTATATGATTAGCATTATATTTGTTTATCTCTTTTTATCCTTGGTAATATTTGTTCTAGCTAAGCATATTTACTTCTTTTGAGCAGTTGTGATATATAGCTGAGCTAACTTAAATGAAAGCAAATATGTAATTAAATATTCTATTATTCTCTGGAACTGAGTATGGAAAAAGGGAATTTAAAATGTACTTTAATTTTCTTTGTTTCATTTCCCATTACCCCTAGAGCCCTTTTGAAATCATATTTAAGACAGATATAGAAAAAAAAAAACTTCTAGAACAATTATTGACATATGAGCACTATGCTGGATTTGGGGGATAAAAATGAAAAAAGAGACAATTCCTCTGAGAGTTACAGCCAGGCAGGAGCTTCATGCGTAAGGAACATCTTAACAGGTGTGAGATGATATCTCATTGTGACTCTGATTTGCATTTCCCTGATAATTAGTAACATTGAGCATCATTTTATATACCTGTTGTCCATTATCAAAATACAAAAGATACCAGTTTTCTCTATATCAATTATACCTCAATAAAGCTGTTTTTTAAAGACACATGTGTTACAAAAATCATCTGGTACATAATAACAGATGTGGCAGCTCTACTCTCTCTCCTGCACCATCAGGGCATTGGTGGGCAGGAACATGACTCATGGAGAATGTGGTCAGGGAAGGGCTCCCAGAAATGTTCCCAAAGGGACTTGGAGGGTACCCTAGACCATGACTTCAGAAGTCCCTTGTCAGGCTAATGTTGAGTACTCTTGTGTCAGAGGTACGGTTCCAGGTCCTTGGAATCAAGTTGCAACCACCTGTTGAAGAGGTTAGTGAAGATGGTAGACAGCATCCTAGGGGAAAGACAGATGATGCAGTCAGTGGCTCACCATCCAGAATAAACCACAGTCACGTCTCGACTTCAAATCATCAACAAAAATATGTTCTGTGTGAATCAAAAAGCCAAAAGCAAAGTTGAAATTGAGTCTTGTATTTTCATCTAATAAATTTTATGACTTTGGGATAAGGAAAGAATTCTTAAACAAGATGAAAACATACATCACAAAGGGAAAGGTAGATTAATTACAATAAAATTGTAATTGTTTACAAAAGTTTGACCTAATCAAAAAGCAATTAACCTAACATGTATGAGCAAAGGCATTAACAAGTAATTCACAAACTGAGTCAGAGAACTCCCAACTCTTCAAGTTAAGACATCAGCCTTGGTATCTGTGTTATCTATCAAAACTGGACAGATGGAGTTATCAATGTCAGCTGTGTAGGAGGAAATTTGATAAGAAACAAGCTGAATTCCAATACAAAAATCTGAAAAGGATTGGGATTTAGCATCACTATTTACCCTCGACGACTGGTAAAGGAACTGTAGTAAAAAGAGGAGCTTTTATTGACAGTCATGATAAAAATCCACTACAATCAACACATCCCTCCCCCAGAAACTGGGGTTTAGTCAACCAGGTTACCTTTTGTGGCCATTGAGAGAAAAGACTTCCAGGAAGAGCAATAGAAGGATCACCATAAACCGAGAGAATAGAGCAATTGTGCTGCAGATGCTAACACTGCGCTGGTCCCCAACACAAGAGCCAGACCCGCCTCATCAGGCCACAGGAGAGTCCCACCCACACACACACATTTAATCCCACATCTTTGTACCTCAATCTTAAATAGGAACAGTCAAAACCTTGCAGGAAACTACTAATATGAACAGCATCAAATAAAAACTACAACCAGAAAGAGGCAAAACAATTCAAAGGGAGAGATAAAATATGGGATGACGAGAACTGCGAAGCGCACTTAGTGTCATCAGAGACATGGGATGTGGAATCCATGAAATGGGAATAGAATGCTATTTAAATCAATATTTAAAATTTTAAAAATGTGAGAACACCAGTGGAAAAAGAGGACAGAACCATATGAATGTTGGAAATTTTAACACACAACTGGCAGGAACTGATAAGGGAAGAAAGCAAATAACCTACCAGACCTCATTCACTTACAGGCCAGTTTTCAAAACAAATATAAAATAAAGATTTTTTTCCTAGTCCACATAGTACATTCACTAAGAAGCACCACCTCCCAAGACGTAAAACGACTCTCAGTAAATTTTAAAGAACTGAAAAAAAAATGTAGATTACATCCTTTGAACAACAAAAAAAGAAAATTAAATCATAAATAGCAAGATGTCTACAAAAATCTTCAAATATTTGGAAATTAAACAACACATTTCTAAATGACTCAGTCAAGAAAGCAAAAGGGAAGTTTAAAAATGTCCCAATGGATAATTAAATGTCACATTCCAAAATCTGAGGAATGCAGTAATCTTAAATAATAAATACTTAATGTAAGCATTTATAGTTTGATAGATTTAAATGCTTGTATTGGGAAAGGAAGGCTTAAAATTAAGTATCTTAGTTTCTACAGCCAAAAAGAAAGAATAAATTAAGCTCAAAGGAAGTAAAATCATAAAATTGAGAAGCAAATCATAAAAATGAGAGCAGAAATAAAAAATAAACAATAAGGAAAACCAAGAAAGTCAAAAGCCAATACTTGAAAAAGATTAAGAAATCAATAAACTGGCTACAGCAGTCAAAAATATAACCAAACAACACAGAAACTACCAACATGGAGTAAAAGAAGGGACAACACAACAGATCCCACAGGCACTGATGAGATACTAAAGGAATATCAGAAGCACCTTTATTCCAATGAGTCAGAACATACTTTCACAGATATAAGAAGAAATAGAACATCTGAATAGCCCCTTATCTTTAAAAGAAATTAGAAGTTTTCCCACAAAAGGAAAGCTCTAGACCAAGAAGGATCCTCTCAACATTTTTTTTTTTTTTTTAAGAATAATACTAAATGTGAAAACCTTTTTCAGAGGGCTGGGGTTGTAGCTCAGTGCTTGCCAAGCATGTGTGAGACACTGGGTTGAATTCACAGCACCATATATAAATAAGTAAAATAAAGATCCATTGACAACTAAAAAAAAAAAAAAATTTTTTTTTTTTTTTTAAGAGCCAGATCCGCCTCATCAGGCCACAGGAGAGTCACACACACACACACACGCACACGCACACGCACACACACACATTTAATCCCACATCTTTGTACCTCAATCTTAAATAGGAACAATCAAAACCTTGGAGGAAACTACTAATATGAACAGCATCAAATAAAAACTACAACCAGAAAAAGGCAAAAGAACTCAAAGGGAGAAACTAGAGAAAGAGGGAACACTTCCCAACTCTTCTTATAAGATTGGTTTTAATACCAATTATAAATAAATAAACAAGTATTATAAAATATTTAAAAATACAATTATAGATTAATATGACTGACAAACATACAAAAATGCCTAACAAAAAATTAGTGAATTCATGGGAAGAAAAGATACTAACTTGGAATTGAGTGTAGACTATAAGATTAAAGACAAAAAGAATGGAACCAAGCATTCTACTCCAATTGTTGAAGCCACCCTTCATGGGGGCTTCCGTGTACCTGTACACTCGGGCTGAACAAATGGGTAGATGGATGGCCAGTGGCAAGAGCTGGCTTTTGCTATTGGAACAGGAGAGTATAGATAAGCAAGGAGATGAGACCAGAATGGCCCACGTGACACTGCATTAGAGTTGGAAACATCAGGATGAATTCACGTTTACCTTTGTGATGCTATAACAAAACACCAGACATAAGGTCATGTAAAAATGACGCAATTTATTTCTCCCTTTCTGGAGGCTAAGAAGTCCAAGATCAAGGCACTGGCAGTTTTATTGTCTGGTCAGTTCTGCTTCCAACTTTTCTCCTTAACTGTTGTGGCCTCTGAAGGGTGGAACGCTGAGTACTCAGTTGGTAGAAGGCAGAGTGGCAGAAGGCCTGAAGAATGTGTACACCCTCTTTTATAAGAGCTACAATCCCATTCTCACGGAGGAGTCCTAGAGGCCTAATCACCCCTCCTCTTAATACTATCTCATTGGCAACCCCTGAATTTTGGAGGAAGCATCCTAATCCCAGCAATGTGTATACACATTAGTGTGCACACATTCCAAAGCTCTGTGCATTTGGAGAGGTTAGAAGCAATGATGCCCCAGATAGCACCCAGCAGACAGCACCTGAACCAGGTGATCGAGCTTAGATCATGGCAGCAAGTCGTGTTGAGGGCATACACCCTTGATACAACACGTGAGCAGGACACCCTCCACGTGGCTGCCCCCAAACACCCATGACCACCCTCTGGTCATGAGAACGACAGCAGACAGATGCAAAGTGAGGGACAGGGATGTTCCCCAAAATGACTGATCATTCTTCCTCAAAACTGTCAGTGTCAGACCAAACAAGCGAAGTCTGAGCCAGGAAACACAGAGAGACCAAGGGGCAGAAGGTGGGAGGAAGAGAAGTCCAGGGAGTGATAAGGCCAAATTGTTACATTGTGTATTGTGCGCAGTTAGAATATGTAACAACAATTCCCATCAGAATGTACAACTATACTGCACCAATTAAAAAATGTGTGAGCAGGGGAGCCATTGTAACTAAAAAATACTAGAAAATCCACAAATATAAAATTGAAGATCTAATAAAGGCAGTGATACAAGTTAACAAGAGAAGAGTAGTTTATTTAACTAAACATTTTCAGAACAACTGAGTATCAAAAGTGTGAGAAGGAAGGGAGTGTTCC